GGATCGGATGGATCCGATGGATCGGATGGATCCGAAGGATCGGATGGATCCGAAGGATCGGATGGATCCGATGGATCGGATGGATCCGAAGGATCGGATGGATCCGAAGGATCGGATGGATCCGAAGGATCGGATGGATCCGATGGATCGGAAGGATCCGATGGATCGGAAGGATCCGATGGATCGGATGGATCGGATGGATCCGATGGATCCGATGGATCGGAAGGATCCGATGGATCGGAAGGATCCGATGGATCCAATGGATCGGAAGGATCCGATGGATCGGAAGGATCCGATGGATCGGATGGATCCGATGGATCGGATGGATCCGATGGATCGGAAGGATCCGATGGATCCAATGGATCGGAAGGATCCGATGGATCGGATGGATCCGAAGGATCGGATGGATCCAATGGATCCAAAGGATCCAATGGATAAATAGATATCCATCGGATCCTTTGGATCCATCGGATCCTTTGGATCCTTTTTTATAAATAAAAATTAAGTGTTTTGGGATTTGAACCCACAAACCAAATAGTACTGTGAATTGTCTGTGAACATTGGCACAACTGCTTGTTCTCATGCATAAATTTAACTAGTTTTTGGGATTGGATTTATTCAAATTTGAGGTGATTTTGAACACATATTGGTATGTTACTCATTCTATGAGTAAAATATTGTTCGTTTATACTTTGTTCTAGTTTTTTATAGCTTTTTTATTGTCTTAGCAGTTGAAATATATGTGATTGTTTACGAAATATATTGAATTATTTGTTAATTGTTCGTTCATTTTATATATACATGACGAAACCCAAAATTAATAGTTTGATGGTCACAAAAAATTTGAGCATAAAAATGTTAAAATTGTACACCAAAACACTAGATATTACATTTGAAATAACTGGAACACAACTAGTTTTAAATACGTTTGAATTGAATTTCATACATGCTTGCATCCCAAAAGTTCTGATCGATTATCTGTTTCAAAACTTTTGAAATACTGCATGCTATGAAATTAAATTCAAACGTATTTAAAACTAGTTGTGTTCCAGTGATTTCAAATATAATAATAGCTAGTGTTTTGGTGCACAATTTTAACATTTTTATGCTCAAATTTTTTGTGACCATCAAACTATTAATTTCGGGTTTCGTCATGTATAAAATGAACGAACAATTAACAAATAATTCAATATATTTCGTAAACAATCACATATATTTCAACTGCTAAGACAATATAAAAGCTATAAAAAGCTAGAACAAAGTATAAACGAAGAATATTTTACTCATAGAATGAGTAACATACCAATATGTGTTCAAAATCACCTCAAATTTGAATAAATCCAATCCCAAAAACTAGTTAAAAATTTATGCATGAGAACAAGCAGTTGTGCCAATGTTCACAGACCTTACTAATTTTAATGTGATAAACGCACAATTTCGCAATAATTGTGCAGTTAGTATAGGTAATCATGCGATGGCGAGTACTATTAATCCATAATTGTACGAGCAACATCGCATGATTACTTGTTTATTATTGACATGACAATTGGATACTTCTCAATGTTAACATCATATATTCTCTCGCAATTCCATTTCACGCTTGTGTTTAAAATACCTTTCCGCCATTTTGTTTGTTGTCGGAAAATCATTAATTGTACTGCAGTACAATTAATGAAATATTGTACTCATCTCAACCAATCAGCATCCAGTAATTTTGTCATGCTAATAATAAGTGAAGAAGCTAACGAACATGTGCAATTTAAATCTGTATTTCTAGACATTATTACTTGTTGAAAAACAAAAAACATGTTAGTTATATAAGTAAAACAAAATCTCAAGACGTTGACTTTTTCATAAAGCTTATACACAACTACTAGCAACAATGACGCTTAGAGTGTGTGGTATTTTTCCTTTAAACGAAAGACGACATATGCATTAAGCCATTAGCCCCAAATTTTATTTCATTAAAGTCTCTTTAAAGTATACTCAATTTCAGCCATTCTGTTTCAATTTATCTCCAGAGAGTACAGGGCCTGCCGTATCTATGTTATAGGATACCCAACTTGTCATATGGATCTAATATGAAGCATATGTACGTAAAGATGTATAAAAGTGAATTAAAGATGCATATTACAAAGATGGAATGGGAAATTATTGGGTTTTCACTTTTCAGACTAAGTCAACCTTGTCAAAGCCATGATTTCAGTAGTGTTT